ATATCATCTTTGACTCCGGCATCCTTGTCATGGTTGAAAAATAGCCCAATCCCACCTAGCTTGCTTGATCCAATCCTCAATCCTGGATGAACCTTTATACAATTGTCCTTGAGTAGCCAATTGGCAAACTCATCGTTCTGTGTAACGCCAGGAATACTCGTATCATTGTCTATAAGCATCTTTAGTTAGATATACCAAACATATCTTCAAGAATGCTTTCAAGACTAAAAGTTTTGTCGCATTTGCCGAGTTTTGTCGTTTTCTTACGTAAATACATGACATATACTTATTCTACACCTATAAACATCTAGGAACCCCCAGTAATGGATCTTATAGCCCTTCAAGGTATAACCAATCTATAATGAGTCGTTTGGGGGTTGCTTTAAAGCATTAGGACCATTAAAAAAATAGTAACCCGGAAATCGCTGTTTGCTTGAGAAAGCACTAAAAAAATTTATCAAAAGAAGAAGAAATGTATAGTAGGAACCAACTACTGAACGAAATAGATATAGCACTCAAAATATGTCGTGGGACGATGAAGACTTTGATATTCCAAGCAATTCCAAGCAAGCTGCTGCATCTTGGGAAGAGGAAGCTAACGATGAACCATTATTGGACTCATGGGATATAGACGAAGAAGAAGTTGCGCGTAAGAAGAAGGAAGAAGAAGCTAAAAAGAAGGCAGAAAAGGAAGCTTTGAAGAAGAAACAAGAAGAAGCTAAGGCTAAGAAATTGGCTAAGAGCAAGGGACAAAAGGCTTTATTGGATATTGATATGGTTGATGACCAAACTAGACAAGAACTCTTGAAGAAGGCAGAGTTAGACGCCGATTTGAATAATGCTGCTGATTTATTTGGCGGATTAGGAGTTGCTGGTGAAGAGGGAATTGATATCAACGAACATCCAAGGGAAAGAGCAGCTAAGGCAGCAGCTGCAGCTGCAGCTGCTTCTGGCCCTAATCCTGCCAGGTTGACCAAGGATACTCCAATCGATACTCACCCATTATTCCAACCAACCGATAGACAGGAATACGAAAAATTGAGAAAGGCTTTGGCTCCAGTTTTGACTAACTTGGCAGAAGACTCGTTAATGAACTACTCGTCTGGGTTAGCTATTGATTTGATAAGAGATTTAGCCCAACCATTATCTATTGAAAGCATAAGAAAAGTCGTATCGACTTTGAATGTTATCCTGAAGGAAAAGGAAAAGGCTGAAAGACAGGCTAGGTTGAAGAAGGCTGGTGGTACTGCCACTGGTGGTGCAGGTAAAAAGAAGGCCAAGCCAGCTGTGAAGACTAATGTCAACACATCGTTCAAGCAGGATGTCTTTGACGACATAGATCAATCTAAGTACGACGAATTTGAAGACGATGACTTCATGTAATTGTGTATAAATACATCTATTTAATTGTAAACTATTCATACTTAACTGTTTCATATCGTAGTCGATACTTTGCCAGCAATCTGTGAATTAAAATTCAGAGAACGAATCACATTCCTTTGGTAACGTAGCCCAGTCCTTGTCACTCAAGTCAGGTGGGGTATATGTACCGAAGTCACTGGCCTTAACAAGCACGGGTATCATCTGGCCTGTCTTCAAAGAAAATTTTCTATGGTTTAATACCTTCAACATCGAAGATATAGTTCCCGAGTGAGATGTGATGGATATAACGTCACTGGAGTCGCTCGAGAATATATCGTTAAATAATACTGTTGCCCTGTAATCCCTATGTTCGCTGGATTCATTTTTATCGGCTTCCCAAAGCTCATCTTGCTCGGTAAACCCATCTTCAAACTTATAAGAAGGAGCAAAATCATCGATATACGTCTTATTATGACGTCTACTCTGCGAGTCGATCCCGTATGTCTCTCTCGCAAATTCCTTGATAAGCGGAATCTTGGTATCATTCAAAATTGACGACCAGGTATAATTGTACGTCTGTAAGCATCTTCTCATAGGAGAAACATAATACGATTGGGGTAACGGTGCATTGTTAGTGTAAAGCTGACTTTTCCAGCTGTTTGAAAGTGTGTTGATCTGATCATGGCCATTATCCGTCAACAAAGCATCATACCATTCCATTGTTGAATTTCCGTCCTGGATTGACCAATAACAAGTCCAATTTTTTTCAGGATATCCATCTCCTGCGATATTATGGTAACCTTCACCGTGTCTAGCTAAGAAGAACAACTTGTAAGCTTCACCGTCATCATTATCGTTCAAATCCTTCAATTTGTCTAAAACGTCATCCCAAGAAGTATCCTTTTTCAACCCAAAATTGTCCTCATTAATATCGAATTTCAGAGCATCAGTATCTTCATCAGTTTGTACAAAGAGTCCCTTAACCACATCATATTTGGTTGGGACGTCTTTCAAGTTTCGCAATTGCAAAAAATTTTGATTTGGAACCGAGAGCGAAATTGAAATCACCTTCACCACCAAAAACACGCCAACTAATAATTGATAAAGCATTTTGTAAGGAACTTATAATAGCATATCAGTTGACCCATTAAACCCAGCTGAATCATTGGTATTTATATTTGTCAAAGAACCCCCGGGGACTGGTGACCATAACTACTAACCACCACGTGCAGTAACAATCAGATTCAACCCTTCTGGTCAACAATGTCCAAGATATATACAGAATGCAAGGTATATTGCCCATGCTCTGAGAAGGAGGTAGAAACGAGGTATGGGGATGCTAACACTAAGTTGCCCATGATGATTACACACAATGGGGCCAATCATGTAATTGGTGATCTATTCTTCTGTCCTACTTGTCAGGGACATAAATGTACAGCATGCTGCCAGGTGAATATCGAAAGTAAATACTGCTCCAATTGTATGACAGATTATACCGGGTCAAATGAAGTGGTATGTACGAAGAGCTGTTTTAGTTGCCCATTGTGTGATTCAGGGTTGGCGATAAGTGCTATTGATAGTCGGTGTGATGACAAAGACGGTAAAATATTCAAATTCAAATGTTTATATTGTGAGTATCAGTACAGCACGGCAACAATTTTGAAGCCTAAATCATTGGTTAATATAATTAGATCTGAAAAAAAGAGTAGAGATGGTGGATATGCATCATTATTTGAGAAATTCCATGAAAACTTCGTTGATCAACAAACTTTAATGAAGCTTGAAAGCAATCAGCATAAGATGAAAAAAAATGTACCCCGGTTGTCCGGCGAAGTGTTGCAGAAGTTAAAGGATCTCGATTTGTCTAATTTGGCTGATTCCATGACAAACTCGTCAGATGAAATAGAGGTATTGAGAAGCAAAATCAATCAGAATGGGCTGGTCGCTATAGATGAAAACCAAGATTTGGATGACGTTTCTCAAATTGCATCCAAGGACAGTTTAGACAGTTTTGTTAAACTAGAGCAGCAATCGAAGTACAGTAATTTCTATTCTACTATAAGCAATGGATCACTAGTAAGTATAGGGAATAAAATTTCGAATCCCACAGCGGCGGACCAAGTACCGATTCCGAAAAAATTAGTATCCAAAAAGTCATATACGTGCTTGACATGTCGACAGATTCTCTTAATGCCACATAAAGACCCCTCCCTGATCAAATTATTGACGAAATGGAATGCGATTGATTTCTTGCCCATGCTTAGGATCTCCAGTTTAATCAATAAAGAATACCCAAAGTCATTACAATTTGGAAAACTGTATGATCTACTTATTAATGTGATCAACCCTTTACCTGTTGATATTAATATGGTGATAACCACAATGTCACAAGTATCTCTGGATTTTCTATCCGATCCACTGTTGAATCTCCAGGTAACACTACCAATGTCTCATGTAAAGATCAAAGGACAGAAGCAAAAAAAGGATCCGAATGCAATTGCCAAATCAATTCCTACACCCTTTCTAACAAAGAGTACCAAATTATCGAGAACTGAATTGATTATGCGTTTGGGCAAATTAAACTCAGCACGTAATTCCAGTGATGATTCTTTCGAGGTATCTGATATTACTGTCGATAAAGGTGATAATTGGTGCCTGATCCCATTTAATATCAGCGTTGAATCATCAGATCTACAAAACTCGCTGATAACTATTAAAATCCCATTTTATATTACTATAAAGTCCCAAGTCCCTGAGTCCATACAAAACTTAAAATTACCAAATCTGCATCTTTCGTATGGATTTTGGACTGTTATCAATTTTGGTAATTTTCTTATTGAAAGTTAAATCATCATTGTATAGATTATCTTTTCTTTATAGAGTGCTTAATAGCAATTAACGACTAATGATTACAATACGAAAGTATGTATCGTGTAACCCTCCAAAAGATTAAAAATCTAATACCAAAATTCCGGCAACTTTAGACAAGTGTTTTGCATCTAACGTATCGTTTCCTAAATCTACATCTGAATTGTATGCTGTTTGGTTTTGAGTGCCAGTTTGGGTTGGTTCGTCCATATCGTCATCATCGTCTGGTTCACTCCCGTCATTCAACGTATTATCAGCAACCCTTGCCTCAGTGTCCCCCTGTTCCATTTCACGGGTGTTATTTAAATTGTCTATACCATCTACTTTGGTTAGCGAGTCACCTTCGGCCAACCTTTCTTCATTTGATCGTATCAATGCTTCGTTTATAAATAACTTAATATATTCTGAAGACAACTGTAAAGTCTTTTGGGTTATACGGGTTTTTTCATTTTTAAATGCTGAAGTTTGAAATAACCTAGCAATAGTTGCTATAGGTATGCCCGCTGAATCTTTACTTGCACTATTTGGGTCCTTATCCATTTCTGTTTATGAACTTCTTTATCTTATATAAAATCTGGATACGCGATTTTTGTAATCATGATATCAGATTCTCCAGAGATCAAAAAGTTGCATTTTTAGTCAAGATATAAGCAGGGATAAGTTTGTTACTTCAAGTACACTACAGGAAGACTTAAACGCAAAAATTATTAAATATTAATCTAACAAACTAAAAACCCATAATTATATATGCAACAGAATTAAATTCAACTCTAGTTTTGGCTTCCGTCACCACTATTGTTGTTATTATTATTATTGTTATTACCACCACCCATAAATTGGCCAGCTAAGTTTTGTAACATAGGGTTATTCATCAAATTCGAAAGGTCTGGACCGGAACCATCGCCTCCACCACCACCGAAACGGTCGGCCATTTGACGAATAGCAGGGTTACTCATTAAGTTTTGCATGGCATTTGGGTCTGACATCAAGCTTTGAGCAGCTTGCATAAGTTGAGGATTGTTCATCATATCACCAAACGAAGGCATGCCTCCGCCATTTCCTCCAAACATCGAACCTAAGTCTGGCATTCCTGAGGCACCAGCACCGGCACCAGCACCTCTGGCAGCTGAATCGTCAGCTTCACCATTAGATGCAACAGATGATTTTGGAATCGACTGTTCTAATTCTTCTTCGACCCTACGCTTAGCAGTTTCAAACCCTTTAGTCATCGCGTCTGACTTCTTGTCGCCTTCAACTTCTAACCCCTTCTCGTAAGCCTTCATGGCAGCAGTGGCATCTCCTAAGGCATATTTGGCCAATCCTAATCTCGAGTACGACTTAGAGAAGCTAGGGTTTAACTCGATGGCTTTTTCAGCATCCTTCACAGCATTTTCGTGCTGGGAGGCGGAAGAATAAGCAGCTGCTCTATTGGACAAGTAGACAACATTAGAGCCATCTAATTCAATGGCTTCAGCATACTTTGTAATGGCTTCACTAAAGTTCTTACTTGCCATGGCTCTATTACCTTCTGCCTTTAATGCATCAGCCTTTTCTTTCGTGGTAGCGTCTACTTCCTCAACAGGAGCAGCTGGTTTATTCTCTGGCTTAGAACTACCCGAGGCACTAAGTAAAGCAGCTAATGACTTTCCACCAAACTTAGCTTCCACAGTCTTGGCATCATCATCCTTATTAACTTCGAATGCATCAGCGATACAATCAATGGCTACATCCATTGATTCGGCATAATCTTCTGGAATTTCATTCTTTGAAACAGATTGTTTCAAGAAATGAATCACACTTAACGCAATATCCTTATTGTTGACTGACATTATTATACTTAGCTGTTGTTATCTCTATTACTTTAGGTTACCGCTACTAATTATATCAGATCGACGTGGAAGCGAATTACTTCTCGAAGTTTCCAGGTATAAATAATGTGTATTACACTACTTTTGATGATATCTTACCTTTTACAACTATTTAATAGCTTCGTTAATTCATACTTACGTATCTTCAGAAAACATAAGCTTAATCTAACATAGCGTTTGATACCCAAGTTGATAAGATTTGATTTGAATTTCAAAAAATTTGAAATTTCAGCTGCAATACACTCATGATCGAACTTCAATTCAGCATTCAATTTCATGATCTTCTTGATTTCTTCAGCTTTCATCAATAAGAGCTTCTTGTATCTTGCTTTTTTATTCTCTATGATGCTTGCAAAGCTGAAAAATGAAGGTGTGGTGTCTGTAATTTCTTCTGCTTCGGCTTCTAACTGATGAGCCTGTTGCAAATTGCCATTAGTTGAATTGGCTAGATTTGGCAGCGCATGTGTAGTGTCAGCAGTATCTGCTCCACTTGTAGGATCGGGAACTACAGTAGCATAACGCGTAGGTGCATCTTCTTCGTATTTCGTCAACTCGATATTGAGCTCTTTAATATTTTTGTGAAGTTCCTTCCAGTCGTCGAGTTTGAGTAAGATGCGTCGAATATTCTTTGTGAGTTCTATTGTGGAGAGTTCTAACCAAGCAGTGAATGAAAGAAGTTCGTTATATGAAGAATCTTGGTTTTTGTATTGATTCGTTAATACAAAATTATATTCTCGAGGCAAATCTGATGGTAAGATGTTGCTGAAAAATAAACAATTGAACATTCTGTCTGTCACTATCCTTAAATCCGATTGTTTAATATCGCCTATCGCAACTAACTTATTGAATTTGGCAATAATAGTTTGAAAGTTCAGCAAATCAGTCAATGAAAATCTGAGAAAGAAGTCTATTTCATTTACTTGACCTATTCCCAAAACTAGATTGCCAAATTTTCGCTTACTTGATTCTTGACGATTGGTAATGTCATTAATTAATTCTAGTGTCAGTTTATGTCTATCCTTGACAAAAAAGTTCTCAAAAATCTTCTCGTTTGTCAATATTGGATGGAAGTTTAAACTTATCATGTACATGTTCACATGTTCAATTATTCTATTAATTCTGAATTTGGCAAAAATTGGAACTATAGATTTCTCTTGAGGAAAATTTAACCAAAATGTTTCAGTATCCGGAAAAAATGAATACATATGATCTAATTTGAATATGTATATGAATTTTCTCAATCTGTTTAAAGTTTCAGCATTTAACATTGGTATCTTATTATTTTTAATAAAGAATAAAACCCAATCTTTCTTTGTAGTATCATACCTGGCATTCAATGCCGCAATTTTCTCTGTATCTGTGTTTGGGTAATAATTCATGAAATAGTAACTATATATCAACTTCTCAATCTCTTTCAATACTTTGTTTGTTGGACTTTTCGCAGTCAGACCACCTAGGAAATCAAAAACGGTATAAAAATTGATGCTATCCTCAAATTTGAAATCCAATCTATCATCCTTTAAAAGCTCTTCTAGGTTTTCTAGTCGATTGTATTTCACGTATAGATCTAGCGGTGTTAAGTTTTTATAATTTAATTGATTTACATTGATTAAATTAGTTTCACATGTTAACAATTTGGTTTTTGATAAATTTTTGAGGATAATATGCAATAGGGTGTTTCCCATTTTGTCAATATGTTTGTCAAAATCAATTGATTTTTTATCATATTTCTTGTAAATACAATCAAATCCTTTTTCAAGTAACGTTGCATAGTTCGGATGGTCATAGCATCGACATAAACTAAACAAAGGGGTATGTGAATTAAGATCTTTCAATTCCCAATCTATCAAGAAACCTATCTGATCTATTAAGTCGGGGAAGTGATGAAAATAATGCCCGACAGACCTGCCTGAATTGTCCACTGAATTAAAATATAAAATCTGTTCTTCTAACGTTGTATTTGAAAGTATTATTTCAACTAACTGTGTGATAATGTTATACGATTCTTCTATTAGGGCAACAGTTAACAAACTCTGATTTGTAGTTGTGTTTTTATCAAATAGAATGTCATCAATAGAGAACCATTGATAGTTATAATTAATTATATAATTGAATGCATCCAGATTATCAGCTTTGGCTGCCATCATTAAACAACTCTCTCCCTGTACAGTCCTACTATTTAAAAAATGGTTATTTGGAAGCTTAGATTCACCTAGTCCTTGTTGAACTTCATCTAGTAAAACCAAAAGATTTTCGGTATCTCCTGAATCAATCAACGACCAAAACTTATGGTTTAATTCAGAAGATTGAACTAGGCCAGCATATTGAGGCTCGTCATTCATGGAAGATGATAAGTGGTAAATAACCGCGTCAAAGTTGCTTAGGATGTAGCAAAAATACCCATCATTCGTATAGTCTACTGAATTGAAGTGCTTTATATAATACAAATGAGCCTCTAAATTATCCACCCTTGCATGCACAATGACCATGATTAATAAACCAATTAATATATCTGCATTTACAGTAATATCATCAGATCCTGTCTTTTCTGTCATTGACTCCACCTCCGATATTTGTTTCACGTTCTTCGTTAATATGTTTACTGTGTTCTTTAAGATTTGCGTTTTTCCGCTCAGGTTAAGAATAGAAGCATCTGATAACTTTGAAAACTCGTCAATTGCTTTGTATATTCTCTTATGCAATTCGTTGATATGCCATGGTTTATCCATTGGAACATCTAATTGGTTCAACGATATACATGCCAAATGATCATATTTCTCTTTTGTTAAAATTTTTATTGCATCCGGATCATTATTTTGTTTATCATCATTAGAAAGGTCGAATTGGAAGATTAATTGGGCCCAAAGCTTATCATATAAATTTAATTCCACGTATTCATGGACTAATCTATTTAGGTCTAAGCCAGGATAAAGCCTAAGAATATAATTAATTAAATGGTAAGTTTGCTCGCTATCAGGTGTGTCAATCTTTACACTATCCAGAACAATCTTGAATGCTTCATCTAACATACTTTGAAATTCAAACTTTATGCTAGATAGCTTCTTACGGGTGTTTGTTCGTAGCAAGCGGAATTGATAGTTGTTATGATGGAATAATTTATAAAATTTATCAGATACGGCATTAGACAATAGTGGAAAGCTTCTCAAGAGTTTTTCAAATGTGATATCATGAAATTGTTGATCTTTTTTTGATGTTGATTCTAATTTAATTTCGTCCATATCCTTTGATTGCATAGGTACTGGCACATTGGGATCAAAGCTCCCAAACAACGAATCCTCTATATATAATATCATAAATTTGCTGCCTTTTGGAAAATAATCACAGAACGAATTGAAATAGTTCATATCCAATACTTTTAATCTTAAGCTCTTTTTGAAGCCCTTTCCCGTGAAAACCATTCCGTTTTTTATTAATATTTGTTTTCCATTCATGGTCACATAAATCGCCAGCAGCGATTTAGACGATGCAATTGATGGGTATGTGGTGTTAGTCTTTATAATATGAGATCGTATGAAATCCTCATTATGATAACATAAATCATGTAATCGTATTTTCGTCGATGATTTTTCTGTACTTGGATCAAATAGATCGTGAAGAATATGCGCCGGTGGAACTAAAATCGTGTAGTCATTGTGGTTTTCTGACAATTCCTGAACTGTCTGTCTGAATGGATTCTTCGAATGATGTGGATTATTGAATATGCAATTTAAAAAAGGATTATAAAGAAGCGGTAAATGTGTTATTGACTTTGAGTGAGGTGGCATTATACATTCATTATCCTCCAATATTCTCTATACAAAATAAGAATATATATTCTAAAGAAAGAAGCATTTCTTGATAAGGTCCGTGTGATCTATACTATCCGTTTTGTGTAATTATTCTAGAGTGTACTATATAGTTCATGATTTTTTTACAGAAACAATAAACAGAATTGATATAACGATTAAGCAATATCAATTATAGCTTACTGTAGTTAACAATTGTATATGGAACTTCTTATTTAAAGAATCAGCGACGTAGAATATCCTTGTTTTCTGAAAGGTTGAAAAAATATAACACAAAATTTAGTTTATAGAATTATTGCAAAAATGTATTAAAACTGAATAATTACTTAATTAATTGGTGTCTTGGATTCTACTCCTCATCCCAACAGAACCAGTCAAAATACTGGGCTTAGTACTGTCAACAGGGAAATTAACAGTTTTCTCATCTGTTTGAGCACTCGTACCAAAGCCACCACCACCAGGAGTCATAATTATAATTCTGTCACCCTTACTGACTTTAACAGTACATTTTCCACCAAGGAATATTCTTCTATATCCGTCACTGGTTTCTGACTTTCTATACCACTTATTTACACCTCGTAAACCACTTTCACCCCCGAGTAACCCAAATGGCGCCATTGCTCTTCTTTCCATAAGACAAGAAACCTCTAAATTAGGATAAGTGAATTGAATGTCCCTAATAACACCATTACCCCCCTTATGTAAACCGTTTCCTCCAGACCCATGTCTAATTGAAAACTCGTGGATAATTACGGGATATCTCTTCTCAAATAGTTCTGTATCTGTGATTCTAGTGTTTGTCGTATGACATTGAACAACACTTTGTCCATCCCAGGTTGGACCTGCACCAGATCCTCCGCAAATCGTTTCATAATACCCAAACGAGATTTTATTTTCTTTATCGTTGATTCCGAAAGAAAAATTATTGCATGTTCCTTGTGATGCTGCAGCTGCTTCAAATGCTTTTAACATAACATCAACGATCCGTTGTGTAGTTTCCACATTACCTCCAACAACCGCAGCCTCAATAGATGGATGAACAACTGAGCCTTCCCTTGTCTTGAATTTGATTGGTCGTAAACAACCGTTATTTAATGGAATATCAGAACTTATCAAACATCTCAAGACATATAATACAGCAGAATATAAAATGGCTCTTGGGGCATTTAAATTACCATAGATTTCATCACCGGAACTAGTAAAATCAAAGTCAGCATCACCCGTTGTAGGATTAATTGATATTTGCAACGAAATGGGAGTACCATCGTCTAAATAATCAATTGCTTGCATTGCGTTACCATTAAATTTCTCATATGCCAATCTCAAAAGATTTCTAACGGCTACTTCAGCAGTGGATTGAATAGCACTCATATATAAATTGATAACTGGGAGACTGAATTCTTCAATCAATCTATTCAATAAAATAATGCCCTTGTAATTAGCCGCAACTTGAGCCTTCAAATCGGAAATATTGTCACTCAATGTTCTTGTACCCGAGCCACCTGGATGCTTGGCAGGTTCTTCTAATAAAAGCCTGGTAATACCTTCTTCATCAAACTTTCCATCTGAACACAATTTATGGGTTATGATTGCTGCTCCTTCGTCAAAAATTGTTTTGGAATTGGGAGGCATTGAACCAGCTGAAATCGACCCAATATCAGCATGATGTCCCCTTGAAGCTGTCCAGAATACTGGATTATTATCCTTATCTATAACTGGAGTAATGACTGTAATATCCGGCAAGTGAGATCCACCTGCCAGTGGATGATTAGTAACTAATACATCACCTTTTTGCAATTTACCTTCCCACATTTCTTTCTGTGCCTTCACAGCAAATGACATAGCTCCCAAATGAATTGGAACATGTGGCGCATTAGCAACCAAATCACCATTATGATCGAATAAAGCACAAGAGAAGTCTAACCTTTCTTTGATATTCGTTGAAATTGCAGTTTGCTGCAAAGTTCTTCCCATTTGCTCTGCAATAGACATGAATCTGTGACCAAACACCGATAACTGAATTGGATCTACAACTTCACTTGAAATCTTAGGCTTATCCTCTTGTTCAACTATAATCAAAATATGATTTGATAAAATCGAAGCTTGAGACTTTGGCTCAATCAAAATTGTTTGAGTGTCATCTAGAATTATTGATGGTCCGCATATGGTTGTACCAACTTTCAAATCAGGCAAATGGTAAACTGAGGAGTCTAACCATCCTTGACCTTCAAAATAAACCTTATTGATTATCTTAGGTTTGTCTGCTTTTTTTGGGCGGGCTAATTGAGCAAATTCATTATATGGGTTAATTTCTTGCTTATTGGTGCTCTTCACTATAAGCAAAACTTGAAGATCGTCTACTAAGACTTTTCTATCCAAAGTAAAGCCAAATTCATTGTTATGTCTTTCTATGAATTTGGAGTCTAAGTTGTATTCGCCTTTTCCTTTTTGAATTAATAAATGAGTATCAGATCCTACATATCTCATGTTTAAATAAACTTCAACAGATGTTTCAAGAGGATTTAAACCCTGCTCATGGTATTCTTCAAATGCCTGATCTATCAACTGTTCAATTTTTTGATCTAAACTGCTATAATTCTCTTTTGAATACACGAATGATGTCGGTGATTGTTTTTCAATTACGATATCTGCCAAATAGATACCATATGCCGATAGCAATGAAGAATACTTATGAATTGCAACATGTGAAATTCCTAAATTCTTGGATAAAGACACAGAAAATTGACCACCAGATCCTCCAAAACATGCCAAGTTATGTTCCGAAGTTACGAAACCTTTTGCTTCTGTCAAATTTCTAATAGGTCTTGCCATGGATTCGACTGCGACTTTCAAAAATCCACTTGCGACTTCTTCTGGGGTTAATTTTATACCTTCAGACTCCTTGTCCTTATTTATCTCTTCTGTCAATTCTTTAAACTTTTTTGAGGTTAAGTCAAAATCCAAGGCTTCATCTTGATTCGGTCCAAAAATTTTGGGGAAATAATCCGGCAATAATCTTCCCAAAAATAAATTGGCATCAGTTACAGTTAATGGACCACCCTTTCTGTAGCAAGCAGGCCCTGGATCGGATCCTGCAGATTCGGGACCTACAACAAACATACCATTTCTCCAAAATAACATCGATCCTCCCCCTGCAGCAACGGTTGATATATCCAATTGGGGCGTTTGGAGACTTACTTCACTGACAACAGTTTCATAAATATGTTCTAAACTACCTGAATACCTTGAAACGTCGGTTGACGTACCACCTGCGTCAAAACCAATCGTAGCCTTTTGAGAAAGATCATCATAGCAAGTTTGGCCATATCCTACCATACCACCTGCTGGACCAGATAAGATGGCTTTTAAACCAGTAAATTTATACCATGGACACAAACCACCATTGCTTTGCATGAATAATAATTTATTTCCAAATGCTTCTAAACCACCCTTAAATCCAGAACCAAAACCTTCAATGTAATTGCTGATTATAGGCGATAAATATGCATCAGCAACAGTTGATGATGCACGGTTGACCATACCGATCATAGGTTGTAACTCGTGAGATACAGAAACTCGAAATCCAATACTTTTACAAATCTCAGCTATTTTTGATTCATGTTCGGGGTATGTATAGGCATGTAACAAACATAACGCAATGGTCCTTATTTCACCAACCCTGTATAGTTCAGTCAATTGTTCCGTAATTTCCTCATAGTCAGGTCTTTTGATGACTCGAACAGTGTCTCCGGTTACACCTTGAGTCAATTCTGGATCCCCGGAGCCCAGAATGTTCAATTTATCACCACCACCTTCTGAAAATCCTTCAATGGTAACCCGTTCATCAATTTCAATAACATCAGTATACAAATGTCCCAATTTCTTAGCAGTCAAATCAAATATATGAGGTCTCGTTTGGTTTCCAATAGCCAAAACATCTTTAAAACCTTTGGTAGTAATGAGGCAAACTTTGGCTCCTTTCCTTTCTAATAAGGCATTCGTAGCCACAGTAGTACCCATTCGGATACTTGTGATTAAGTCTAACCCAAGCTTTTCATCTTTTGGAATTTGAATGTCTTGTGCTCTTTCTAATATTCTACGTATTCCTTCAGTTGGTGCATCTTTATAATTATTGGGGTCAACAGATAATAACTTAAACACGTAATCTGATTTGTCCGGGAATTTAGCAATAAAATCACAAAAGGTTCCACCTCTATCAATAGCTATCTGAATTCCTTTCATTGTTATTTATAATTAAATTTATCGTGATAAAATGAATAAGGGATAATTGATAAGTATGGGGTTAGCAAAATTGACGTCTGCGATATTGACCGGAACTTAGCGATGGTCAACTTCTGTCTCAATTTTATCTACGAAGTACATTAAATCTACCAATACTTATACTATTTGTAATCATGCACACGTAACTAGGGTTTCTGATAGATAATATTAGATTATAAATTGTAATTAGTGGTTGATGCAAAAAGGGTTTTTATCTAAGTCTATTTCCATGATGATTATTGGACAAGAAGTCGATTTCAACTAACATATCCAAACAGCCGATGAATAATAAATTGAACTGCAAATAACATCAGCTTCGTGTAGGTGATTTCAACTTTTGATGATAAGATTTCCTAGTTTATCATACAACTCTTCTTCAATTTCTTCTTCTGACTCATCTTCATTCAGCTCATCACTACTTTCATCTTCATCGTCATCGATCACATTTCCCAAGCTATCTACCTTGACCTCTTTCTTCAGTATTATGTTACCAAGATTATCATATTCCACATCATCGTCATCATCATCTTCTTCTTCGTCTTTGTCTTCGTCATCATAATCCTGTTCAGCGTCGTCGTCATCGTCTATGTTTTCTCTATTTACATTACCCATCATCCAGACATCCTCTTTCAGGGCGAGTTCTTTACGTTCTTTAGCCTCATTTTCAATCTTCACCAACCACTCCTTTTGAGCGATTTCAACAGAGTCGGAGTCCGTACACTTACAATATACATCGATTAATTCCTTGTTAATTTTCAAGAAAGTTAAACCCCATGAGAAATTGCTCAAAAGAAGCTCGGCCCAGTCAGTATGACCCACAATGGCGAAACATGCCGCTATAGCTTCAACACAATTCAATCTCCATGGTTTTCCGTAATTTACAGGATTAGCTGCAACCAAATAGGGCAATAATCTTTCATGCTTTCCACCTATCTTATTAAAGGGAACTTCTTCTAACCTCGCCCAAGAGCATTCAACAACAGCACTTCCAAAACTTTCCACAATTTCTCTATCATCTGGACAAACAACACCTTTCCCATTAGGGGATACAACGATTCCACTGAATTTTTGGCCTACTCTTAAGTTCTTGATAAGTCCTAACCTTTCTAACTTTTTACCTGAACATCTCTTAGGATCACAATGATCAAAATCCCACATAGCTAACTTCACTGGAAATTTTTCACCATCTTCCTGAGATTGTGATCCATTTTCTTGTCTTCCTTTTCTTATATGATGTTGTTTAGATTTATGGCCATTTGAAGTTTTGGCCTTATTGGCTCTATCTTCAGATGTCTTATTTTTTCCTTTCGCCATTATTCAGATAAGCATATCCATATATATACTCATAATCTCTAAAATCTTCTGATGAGCTACTTCAATATTATCTTCTTACACAAAATCATTTTAATAAAAATATGTTTTTCATAATATACAAATTTATAAAACTATTAAATGAGAAATAAAACGTGAAAAAGCAATGGAAAGCAAAGTAAGCAATGTAGATATGTAACCAGACTTAAACATTAACCAATAAAACAAATAAAAATACAAAAACCCAATTACCTAAAATAAAGTGATGAAGCGATCATAGGCGATCCACTTAGAAATCTTCATCAAAGGAGAAAGAGTTTGATGATTTTGAGTCAGTGGTTGATGCCATGACACCAGCCTTTTGGTAGTCACTGACTCTCTTTTCGAAGAAGTTGGTCTTTCCGGCTAAGGAAATGTTTTCCATGAAGTCGAATGGGTTAGTGACGTTGTAAACCTTCTTGTTACCTAAGGCAACTAATAGTCTATCAGCAACAAATTCAACGTATTGACACATTAAGTTACAGTTCATACCTAATAAAGAGATTGGTAAAGCGTCAACGAAGAATTCCTTTTCGATAGTAACTGCTTCAGTAATAATTCTTTCAACAATAACGGCATCTGGTCTGTTTTGTAAGTGGGAGAATAATAAGCATGCGAAGTCAGTGTGTAAACCTTCATCACGACAGATCAATTCGTTAGAGAAGGTTAAACCAGGCATTAAACCTCTCTTCTTTAACCAGAAAATAGAGGCAAATGAACCACTGAAGAAGATACCTTCAACAGCAGCAAAAGCAACTAATCTTTCACCGAATAAAGCATCATCATCATTGATCCATCTCAAAGCCCAGTCAGCCTTCTTCTTGATACATGGGATGTTGTCAATAGCATTAAATAAGAAATCGGCTTCCTTTGGATCCTTGATGTAGGTGTCGATAAGTAACGAGTAGGTTTCAGAGTGGATGTTTTCCATCATGATTTGGAAACCGTAGAAACACTTGGCTTCTGGAACTTGAACTTCAGCAGAGAAGTTTTCAACCAAGTTCTCGTTGACAATACCATCAGAAGCAGCAAAGAATGCCAAGATTCTAGAAATGAAGTATCTTTCGTTGTTGTTCAATTTTTCGTTCCAGTCATGGGTATCCTTACCTAAATCGATTTCTTCAGCTGTCCAGAAGGATGCTTCGGCCTTCTTGTACATTTGCCAGATCTCGTGATATTTGATTGGGAATAAAACGAAACGACGCGTGTTTTCAATCAATAATGGCTCTTCCTTTTCTAAGCTCTTTAACAGGTGACGGTGTGCCTTGTGTGTGGTCAAGAACTCTTGGTGGACTCTTTCTGCTTCTTCTAATTCTTTAGTCACGTCTTCGGCACTTTTGCCATCTTTTGGTGTTATATCTGTAATGCGCTTGACCTCTACCTTTTGGTCGATCAAGTTGGTTTGCGAGTCATCCTTCGCCTGTGCTTCAGCAGCTAATTTATCGGTTAATGATTTTCCCTTCATGTTAGAAACATCTAACCCTGAAATCTTTCCTGTTAAACCGTTGGTTGGTGTTTGTTGAATGGACATTGTCTGAATAATGTTTGAAAGCAACTAATGAAATTTTATATTAATCAAATGCTAATGAATAAAAAATGTAGTTCTTAAAATACTGGGATATCAACTATTTTATATCAATTCCTGATTATACAATGTTGTCTATTCCGTCTACGGCCGTATACATAAAAAACATTGTAAATTTGCTTGCTAGTTGATGTAGAAGCAATTCCCTACACAAAACGCGAATTGGATCATCGCGTAAAATCTATACTACATTTTTACATTAAGAAGTCCAATATTAGACTCTTCTACGTGTTATGTATATAATTCGAAGCGTAAAATTCGATTGTTTATGTCCTAGGAGGTCCGATAATTATACAGATACTAGTTATCTAGAAAAATGGTTTATAGATCTATAGTTATGGGTGAAATTCAATCTCTTGTTTGTAATCTACAGAGCGGTTTGTTTACAAAATTCCTAAAGGGCATACGCGTAAACGCGAGACGTGTTACCAAGGCATTATAATATTAGTAAGACGTGATTGTTCGATCGGAAGTTCAGACTAATTCGGGCAAGTTGGACATATAGGACCGGTTTACAAGGAGCAACAGGAAATTGTTAAGGGTTTAGTAATGTATTAATAACAGATAAGGGCCGATATTCGGAAGTACATGTATATTGATAAAAAGGTAGCTATATTTATAGTTTAGGCGAGAGTGATCAAATAGATAATCGTGAATAACTCCCATAATGGGATTTTGGTATTCCTCTATTGATTGGTGGCAGGAGCAAGATTCTTGAATGGGTGAATTTCGTCCCGTGGAGTAGGTAAATCTATAATGGGATCTAAAGTTCTATCGTACGCAGGAGCCGAAGCATTTGGAGAACTGAATTCAATAGGCTCACCTAGGGCACCATTCTGACCATAATTCTGGTTATAGTTCTGGTTATAGTTGTCGTTGTCGTTGTAGTTGTCGCTGTAGTTTTCATTGTAGGTCTGTGTATATTCGGGGGTTTGATTGTAGTTGTTGATGATAGGACTCTCAGGAGGCTCGCTGAAGTTGTCGAAATCCAGGTTCCTAATCTCCAGGTTTGAAATGGAATTGGATTGTGATCTCATTCCACCAGAAGATGGGAATTGGATCCTTGGAGATTCGACCGCATAGTTATAGATCTCGTTGGCATCAAGTTCTAATGAGTTGTATAAGTCGTAAATATTACCATCTCCCTTGTATTTTGGGGTCAATTTGGCAATATAGTTCTTAAATGCACTTCTCCAGAAGAATTCGTCCCAGTTAGTGGATGACGAATTTCCTATGTTACTGCCGATGACAGCCATAGCATTCTCAACGGATAGATATTGATACAGCGGCAATGATGGTATACCGAAAAGTAAAGACTCCTCGTTAGTCTTATCCGAATTCAAATGTTGGGGTCTACCATACAACTTGAACGAGTCAATAATGTGTATGAAGTTACGGATCATAATTTCAATGGCAGTAACCCCAGGATGTGGGATTGGCATAATGTACAAATAATTTGTCGCCACAAATGAGTCCATGTGTTTTTTGAAAAAAGAAGTTGTGGACGTCTTCGGGGACTTGGCTCCAGTATCTTGCACTTTTGGTGAAGATGCATTATTGAAAAATGACGATGTTGAGCTAACAGACTGATTCTTGGAATGACCTCCTGTAAAGTTGATTGAGTGAGGCATCGAGGACAAAGAATGAGATGATTCCGCGCCAGATGGCGAAGGTGGTTCATTGTGAACAAACAAGTGTTCGAAATGCTTGCTGATGTATACTTCACCGTTCAATTTCATGATTGAATTAAAATCAATCATATTGACATGCTCAGGGTAAACGTTGAAAATACTGGAAAGATTAGGAATGTATGCAACCAAATTTTTCTTAGAAACCTTTTCATTAGAATAAATTTCTATGCAACCCTTTCTCTTAGAATCAGAAGGAATTATAGCTACATATAATTTAACCCATTTAGACGATATTTGAGGCAATCTAAGGTTGCACCACTCAAATCTGGGGAATCTCTTCTTTTGTGACAACAAGATATGAACATCAGATAATTTTGGCCCTTTGAGGGACAACATAACGGCCGTGAATGCTTCGTTCAACGAAGTATACTCGAATTTTGATAAGTTAATTGCTGCAACCCATTTCCTGAGCTCGTCGTGAGATTCAAGTTTTACCATCGTATAGTTCTCGTTGAAATCTTGTATGATATTTAACTCGAGTTCTTCTGGATTAACACTTATATGGGAGTCAATGAGGTTGATATACTTAGGTTTAAATTCATCGTTACCGCTCTCAACCGTAAAATCTTCATCTGAAGGTCTCCAAATGGCCAATTCGTTCCCTGTCAACTTTGCCTCGACCTCTAACCAAATCTTCTCGTTTCCAATCATCCCTGGAATTCTAAAATTGCCCACAGCATAAGTTCTCAATCTCTGTGCATGAATCAAATTAACAACTGGGGACAATTCTGGTGGTAAATTTTCGGTGATGGTTCTGTTATGGCTGAGCACAGACCCTTTACTTCGGTAGGAATATAACGATGGACTCGAATACACGTCGTTCATCGACATAGAGTTCGAAAACTCTCTCAGTTGCCGAACCAACGATGATGGTGTCGATTTCACTTTATCACTGAGCACTCGTCTGCCCGGAGTGGAAGCTCCAGACCCATTTTCAAACTTCGGTGGTCTTAACGGAGACAATTTCCCATAATCCTGGTACTTTCCGTTTGTAGGTGACCCAGGTGTACTGTCATACGACAGTGTAACCGTCGAGGACGACAAGTTCTGTGTTTTCAACTTTGGAAGCGGTAATTGTCCATCCTTGCTAAATTTAGCGTCCTTTGCGACTGGAGCCGGCGGATTCAACGTTGTTGATAACGAATCGGATTCTGGATCCTTCTTACTCTTACTAAAGATTCGCTTGGGCGAAAGAAACGAAATTGGCATTCTATCTTTCGGTGTAAACTTATAGAGATATATGTATTTAAGGAAGACTAGAGATAAAAATCCGGACGGAATAAAATTTATATGCTATTTTTTATAGGGGATAACTGCGCAGTAATATTGCGGATTGGTTTTTTTTTTTCCAGCAATCACTCACGTCCTTCGATAACGGTTTTGCCTAAGATATTCTAATTTACGAGATGAGAACGCCTAATTGGCAGAGGAAGTATCGGACCTATTAACCATTATATTCTATCTTATATCGCACGTATTTCCTCTGTTTTTAAGAGCCTTAGTCTTCAAATGGACCTGCTTGACCGTGGGTACCTTCTGGTATCGATAATCATCGCAAACAATCACAAGTGTATTTTTGACAGGGGCAGTGATCACTCGAAGATTTGAAAATTCAAAGACAATAGTGCAGTTTGTATCACTGATTTGGCCTCATGTTCTCTGGAACCATCTTGCACATATTGTACATA